AGCTCTGCGTAGTTTTGAAATAAAGTGGTACTGAGCCTCCTGGCCCAGCCACCTAGGTTTTCTGTGTTAAACCAGGCAGTTTTGGGGGCAGAAAAGGGCACAGCTGCTGCTGGAGCTCTGGAGGGCTTGGAAGTTGCCAAGTTAGGATGCAGCCCTCATTATTTAGCCACCGAGAGGGATGTGAAGCTGGTAGCGCTGCGTTAAGTGCAGACTTTCCCAAAAAACAGACGCCGAAGCTGTACTTTGGTGTGTTCATCCGACCTTTATACACAAGTGGCCTTTCTCGTTTCAGAGGAGTTTTTCAATATCAGAAGTCTCTCTCTGGATCCAGTTTTCATTTTGTTAAAGGAAACTTAGATACAAACATCCGGATATTTTCAGGTAGAGGGTTGTATTTTCTTTCTGCTCCTATTGCAGTCTCAAAAATATTACAGCCATGATTTAACAGCCTGTGTTGTGCGTAAGGAAGAAAATAAAGAAAAAGACAATAAAAGAAAGCAGAAATTTACAAGCCAAGTTAAGCAAAGAGGTACTTAAAACTGGCAGGTACTTGGTTTTATGCTTTTATTGTCACTCTCATTTTAGTTATGTTATTTTATGATAGCCAGCTTGGGACAACATCTCTTTGTTCTAAGCATTGTTCTAATTTATACTGGTGGCATTGCTTTCAGAAAGTTAGAAATCTTTTTCTTGAGCACTTCAGCGGCTGAAATAAAATGTAACTTGTCTTTTCATACATTCCAGAATTGAGAGAGTTTACTGGAGAGAGAGCTTTATTTTCTGCAGCTCACCCAGGCAAAGCTTGCTCTGAAACACGTGCAACTGTGGATGCGCTCCCAGAGAGGTTTCTACACAAGGATGCTGTGGATTTTATCCTTGATTCTGCCACTCTTCCTTATCCCGTCAGCCTGCAGAAGCACCACTGCAGATGGTGCTCAGGCTGGCTTGGGAAGATCCCTGTGGGCTTTGCACACCCTCCTTTGCTTTGGGGATTTTTATTTTTGTTTAATGTTGCAGTGAATTACAATACAGTGCAATTTCGCATTCTCTCACAGTGACTTGTGGGAAAAATTTATCTGTCCTTTCCCAATGTATGTCAGAGGCAGAAATAAGTCATTAAGGGACTAGCAGAACTCGACTGGTGCTAGCCCCTGCCTGCGCTTCAGAGCAGGCAGATTAGCTGCTGACATCTGCAGCAGACAAGCTGCACTAGCAGGAGTCTGTAATACAAGCCCTATAAATGAACCCACAACATCGGAAGGATATAGACTGGTTGGAGCGAGGCCAGAGGGGGGCACGCCAATGCTCAAAGGGCTGGAGCACCTCTGCTATGGGGACAGGCTGAGAGAGTTGGGCTTGTTCAGCCTGGAGAAGAGAAGGCTCCGGGGAGACCTTATTGCAGCCTTCCAGTACCTGAAGGGACCTACAATGAAGCTGGGGGGGACTTTTTAAAAGGGTCTGTAGTGACAGGACAAGGGGTAATGGGTATAAATTGAAAGCGCGGAGGTTTAGATTAGATATCAGGA